GGTGTTCTTTAATGCAGACTTGTCACAGCTGAGGCCTCTAATGATGGCGCAGCTAAGTTCATGAGCTGAGACCGGGCCTGAGTCTCCAGGCCACCAAATTTGCTCCCCCAATCATTGGTCCATACACTACTGGTCCATACATTCCTGCCGGACCTGATGAGCTCACCTGCATGAGTGTTCAAGCCTTTCACTGACTCACTGAGGTGCTTACGACAGTTGAGATATTCAACTCCAGGCTCCCTCCTCAGATTGGAGGTCCTTCCTCCATGTCAACACATGTCAACACCCAGCAGTTTCGAGGCTGGTGGCGTACCACCGGTGTCACCGCAAAGTTCTGAAACTACGCAATGAATGTAATTGCTAAACCAGGCAAGCCAAATCACTAGTAGATTCAACCTCCTCAGCTCATCAAGTGTGATGCCAATCGCTTCAAATGTAATTAATTACAGTAAAATTCAGCTCCAGGCGTAGACGAAGGGAAGATATAAAAATGCTGGACATCTGCACGGTGTTCGAGCAGCCAGCCTCCTGACAGTGCTATGCGCCGCAGCTCCGACTCAACAATAGTGGCACTCGCCCTTGTGTGGGCAATGGGCAAAATGTGTATATATATATATATGTATGTGTGTGCATAGAGGTAGAGAGAGAGATGAAAACACCGAAACAACTGTCCATCAAGAGTTGAGCGATTCTAGCCACACTGCCTGCTGGGTTCCAGAATGGTCTGGCCTCAAAGATTCGAGAGCCATGCGCATTCCAAATGAGATGAAGCACTTCTCAGATCTTCCAGGCAAGTCACTGAATAGCAATCTTAGCAGAATTGTAATGATAAAGGGAAGATCCTGGCGTGTCACAGCTTTGTTGCAGGGTCACGGCTTCCTGCAAGTGTAAGCGCACACGACAGCAGTGCATGACGATGGTCCTACGTCAGGAAGATAGAGTGCAAGCCTAAGCCACTCAAGAATTGGAAACTCAGGGGCTGTCATGGTGTGTTGCAGATCTTCCTCACACCTCCTTTCGGACAGGCATAGCTGCGGCATTATGGCATATATTGGCATATCATGCATCTCTATACGTCCTTTCTACCCAAGGCGCGGACGTGCATCGCATCATCAAGATTTTACCTGCTACAGTCGTCCATGTGAATGAGGAAAGACCCCTTTGACGCCATAGAACTGCCAAGAAGAACCTGCCAATGTCAATCCCTATCAGATAATATCAAAAACACACCCCTCAGTGAGACTTCAGACTCCTGGCTCAATTCCCAAATGGTGATCTATAAGGCTTGGCCAAAAATGGTGGCATTGAGCCAGGAGTTTGGGGTTGTAAGCATCGAATCCTTTCAATACTTGGACCCCGCAAGCTCGCTTCATAGATCGGGAACGAACAAGTCGCTCCATGGAAACAAACATCAGCCGCGCGTGGACGAATTCAATGGAGGTTCCAACCTGTCTTCAGAAAAGTCACGTGTCCCAAAAAGCGATCCCAACGTGACCCTTCCCCTTCCGAGGTTTGTTGAACCTGGACGCCACGGACGCCACGGACGCCACGGTACATGTTGCGGTCACTCGAGACGACCGTGAGCCGCTCGACGGTGCTTTGTCCCACCCCTTCAAACCGGACCATGGGCCCCCACGGCGGTTCACCGCTCGCACCCGGAGGGTGTTATTCACGACCTGCCCCGGTCCAAACGCTGGGATTGGATGTGCCTTTGACACAGCGGAGGTGCGTGAACAGTATCAAATGTTCAAAAAGCCACGTCATCCTTCTTGCACCTTCGTGCTTAGGTTCAAAAGGTCCAAAGAACTGCCTGACTGTCAGTTGGACAGTATGTCAAGGTTCATCATTCCTCGTCGATCACAATTGGGCACGTGCATTGAGTTCAATGGTTCGAGGATTCATGAGGCTCTTGCAGAAGGCCCTGCCTGCTGTTAACTTTCTTTATTCAGCGGTCCAGGTGTATTTAAGGTCAGGGTCAGGTTCGCTGAGGTTGGCGGAGGCGACAAACCACACAACCATCACACACACAAAAAAAAAGACATAGGCTAACAAAGGGTTGCATCACTTCCAGCAGTTGCCTTGGACATAGGTAGAATTTTTGTAAATATACAGACATGAAAAGGGCCTGAGCCGCAAGCATCAATTGAGGGGGGTGAACTTAAGGAATAACACACCAAACGAAAATCAAAGCAAACGCTATTAGCCAGCTGCAAGCCGCTAAAACTTAAATTCAATAATTACAACAAAGTTGACTTTAAGAACTTATGTTAATTCCTGGGAAGTGGATTGGGGAGGGTGAATTTAAGAATGGAAATGCCGGAAAAGCGAAGCGGTTGGGACGTGCTTCATGGGGAAATAGGTGCGCAGTTGGACATAGAATTGTTGCAAAAAACAGAAAACACAATAACATGAAAAAGGCCAAACCCCAAAATGCATGAATTATATGTTTTGGATGCCAATCAAACCCCAGAAGTACCATTTTGGAGTATGAATTCATACAAAATCATATGATCAATGATCTTTGTGTTTTTTCGAAACGGAAATCCTACCCCAAAAATCGCCAAGATTCCTTAAATTCACCCTCCCTGAATTTAAGGATTCTTTGTTCGCGTCTGAGAGGTGAGCAAAAAGGAAATCTGATTGAGGTCTGTGAGATCGAGATTTGTGATCGTCATCAGGGTCATCCCTCTTTCCACCAAAAGCTCTGCGGCATAGACTACCGCAATGAACTGATGACAAACGCAGCCGATTCTGGGGATCACAAAGGCTGTAAGCCCACTGCCCTGGGTAGGTGAGCTGCAGCCTTGGGGCCATCTAGAAGTGCAAATGATTGTCAATCCCGTGACCAAAACCCAGAACTTCGTCCTCCAAAAACGACATGAGATATTCCAGGCATCCTCACCGGACTCCGGTTTCCGGCTCACCTCCAAAGTGCCTGAGCCCAGCCATCGCCAATAGCTGAGCCTTGCCTGAAAGGGACTCAGCGGAACCAAACACGGATGATGGCATCGGTTCATCGGCAGAAATCCCCTCTATTCCTAGTAGCTTCTTTCTCCTAGTAGCAATGCCCTTTGTTACTCATAGATTGTTGTTCCTAGTAAGATGAAGAACCAACGCTCAAGGTCTTCCACATTCTTCTACCATCAGGGTCGAAGTTTGCGAGGTACCGGTCGACTGGTGAACACTTGGGCTCCGTGCTTGTTGACTGCCCTCTGGAAGGGCGAGCAAGTCACATCCCGTGAGCGAGATGTCTAAATCCTCAGAAACGACGCGACGCAGATTCAGTAAGATCTCGAAACGAAGAACTCGGCAGGGTCATAGAGAGGCTTCCAGGACAAAGTCGCCATTGTGGCAGTTGCCATGTCTTTTGGGCACATGCTGCCCACCATGTTACACTGCTTATGCATGAAAGTATGGTTTGGTATGCTTTGGTCATTAACGGCATTTGGATGCATCATGCACATTGAATTATTGGTAGTTCCTTTGATTCCTTCTCACCCCACGTCTTCCCAGCGGTCTGGTGAGTTCTTATGGGAAGACTGAATCGTCATGAAGACTGAAGACGAGAGTTTTGACTCGATTTGACTCTCTCAAAGGTTCTCAGCCTAAGGCTAAAGGTAAGCCACGGCCCACTGCAGTGACTGTCAAGACCTTAGAGCAAATATCAAATATCTGATACTATAACACTATCTGTCAAACAGAGTCAGGCCTTCAGCAAATCAAGTGACACCAGTCAACTCAAGCGCAACACCTTGAACACGTTCAGAATGGTCTGTCAATTCTACCAGTATCTGCTTAGGTGTCGAGTGTTGACCCCTGTTTGTTTGGCTGCGCATCGGCGCCTCCCCATTTTATCATCTTCGCAACCGCTGTTAGCCGGAGAAGGCCCCTTCTCCGCCAGACAAGAAGAACAACAGGAGACCGACACAATAAGCTATAGGTGGTCGAGTCAAAGTGATTGTTCCTTCTTCAGGTTGGAAACGCTAATGATATATTCCTACGTGTCTTTACGCCACAACCTTTTCAATTCAACGGACCTAAGGCTTCTGGCAGAATGGCTATAAAACCACGGGGCCACCAGCAACGGTGTGCACCTGGGCAGCCAGTCTAGACTGTGCAGATTCTAGACTATGAAGATGAATCCATTCATGCTCCTGCATTGGGGGATCCCTGATGAACATGTCTTGGAGAAAAAACGCAAAAGCTACCAAAACCAAGTGTGAGAAAATTCAACTCATTGTCGTGACGTGGACGGGAACAAGCTTTTTGCCACTGCAAGAGCATAGCAAATCTCGGCAAAAAAAAGATCTTGAAAGTTTGTACGGCCCTGGGCTTAAAGCGATGAATCCAATCAGTCTGGGGCTGTTAAGCGGTGAGTTCTTCCACCAAAGGTTCGCTTCTTGAGGTCCATCGCGTGGACCGCGCATCGCGGCGAACGGCATTCTGTCACTCGTCACTCGCCACTAATGGCCTTGCTGGGCGTCTCTTGAAGACTCCAGCGACAGCGGTTTCAAGGAACCAACGACACAAATGGTTCCGAAACATTCGAGATGCCATCTCCAATCTATGATCAGCTCCGTTCGTTAACTGATCATTCCTGCCTTACACCTCCCGTGTTTCACTTTGAAGTCAATTGTCGAAAACAAGGCTGTAATGTTTACTGCCAACGAGGCTCCAGAGAGGTAGAATATTAGCGCGTGCCTTGAATTATGGGGCTACTCATCCAATGTAGATGAAGCCTCAAAAATGGCCCACTGGTAGATGGCTCTTCGGTTCGGAGATAAGTGCATCCCGTCCCACATGGTAGAGTAGCCCTCACGATTGATGGTCAAGCATGTGGTGCAAACAAATGCAACACAAATGACGACAAATGAAAAATTCCACTGATGAGCTTGAAATCGCAACCTCAAATACACTTTCACGCATATACTTCCACCAAACCAGCTTAGAGCCTTGAAAATAACCCTGGTCTGCGGATTCCACATCGGCCAGCCACGGACTCACATGACACTGCACCCGTCAGCAATGTTTGGTGGCGGGGGCAACCCCCACTCCTGCAAAAACTGGCGGCGGCGGCACAAAAAACCCAAGGTGGCGACTGAGCAGCACCATCACTGGCTCATTGGGGTGAGGCAAACGTTGATATCAAACCACTTCCCACCACCCTCAGGTCCTTGTCGTAGGAAGTGTTTCGACCAACTGGTTTCCCGTACTCCTGCGGGAAAGCAAGGACATGCAAAGACAACATATCTTACGGCATCTTACGGCTATGATATCTCTTCTACACTATGTGTGCCAAACCGGTCAGCCATGCTTCCCAGAAGCAGGACCATGCCAGCGGCCTGAGAATCAGAAGACATCTACGATCTACCCGTCGTCTGCGAGTCCTTCTCATAGAAGGCCCACCAACTCATGAGTCCCTGCAAGCGCCTCATCAAGTGACACCATCACTGACCCCGAAAGTCCCGTTGGCCCTATGCAGTTGGTGTCTCTCAAGAACTGACTGGGATCAACGCAAAACTCCATGGCTAGGAATCTACCAGCCATGCTCGAAGGAAAAGATCTGATCATTGCAGAGACTAGTGTTTATTTTAGCGAGTTCTCAGCAGCTCCATCCATCGCCTCAAAAACGCAGAAATCCCCGCGCGACGTTCCCAAGGCACCGGTCCGCAGCATCCTGCGGCTGGATCTTGAAGATGTCCTGATTTGAAACCACCGAATGTAAAGTCTCAGAGTCAGATGCAAGGCTGCCCACAAAGTAGAAGAAGGTTTCCTGAATTACATGTGTAGAAGTGCTTGTTCTACAAGAGGGAGGCAGCAAAGCTATCAGAACTGACTGGGGCACTTGGAAACTTTGGAGCGAACTGATGTCAGACATATGTCGATCTTTTTTCAATTGGCCGCTCAGTCTCTTGCATCGATCCAGTGCTTAATGCATGAACGGAAATATATCATGTCTCGGCATGTGCGGACGATCCACGTGTCGACGATCCAATTAGAAATACGTCGAACGCGCGGGACTCGGTGTTCAAGCTTCTTCATGAATTGACACAAGAATGATCTGAATCTGCACTGTAGGAAAATCACTTTATCATAATCATTCATAATCTATCTAATTAGGTTGGAGGCCTTCGCTGCTAGTAGCAAGAAGCTATTAGGTTTATTGAAGGGGACACATCGTTTGTGTTTACTTTCTCGGTGCAATGCTGCCGGCCGTTTTGAGTACGACCCATAGGCAAAAGAATGGAAGAGAAACCACCACCACCACCACCACCATCACAGCAGAGGCAGAGGCAGCAGCAGCAGCAGCAACAATAACAGCACCAGCAATAGCAACTACATCAATATTATGACTGCGAAAGCTCTTGTCATTTGTCACTTGTCAGGTCATATTGGAACTTGAGCTGTCTGGTCATCTTGAAGAACACAGTGCGCAAACGGGGCGCTGATACAATATCCAACTGTTGCTGGTATGCACTAGCATCTGTTGACTTTCCTCTTCGTCTTGACGCCGAGCATCATAGAACTTGTCCATGTTCTCTTCGGAATCCTACTGCTAGCGTACAAACACCAGGCACGAGCAGGCTACGCAAATGCATGCTTGATTGTTCAAAAGCATTCCGGACCTTCGAAGGGCACTGCACTAGCCTGATTTAACCCGATCAACAGCCAGCCTCGCCACTGACCAGGGCCCATGTGATGTCCTTACCAGTCATATACCTGCCCAGGTGGCTTTTTGGAATGCAAAAGCGCGCCTTCGGAAGGATGTAGAATTTGTAGGGTCCCCGGCGACATTCTTACGAACATGCCCGGACATACATCTTCCTACTCGGGGCAGGGTGTACTGGAGTGGAGGTGTGCGGATATGCCGTGTGTAAAATGTGCATGCATGCATGCATGCATGCATAACATACCATACCATAACATTACATTACATTACATTACACTACATATATACATAGATATATATATATAGATATATCAGAGCAATTTCTGCGACCAAGTGTCCAGTACGGCCCATCTGGCCCATATTTGTCTGGCCGATCCTCAGCTGATGCAAGCTGGCTGTTGGCCAGAGGTCGCATTTGAAGCGGCATGACGATGCCCACAACATGACGTCTCTTACTATAGGTTTCGTTCTGACTCTGGTTGAGGGGACCCCCTTGTGACTTGAAATTCCGCAACGCTGGCCGCTGGCTGAGAGGCCGAGACATCAAACAAGTCTCCGTACACCGAGACCAGCATGCGCTCACCTGGCGGACCAGTGAAAAGAATCTCTGGGAAGGGCAAGGCTAAGGAACAAACAAAGAAGCACGAGAGTTTCTCATCAAATGCACGGAGGACTTGCCAGCCCATGTGAAAGTAGCCGGGAATCAGAGACTTCCCACGTGTGCGAGCCCACGTGCCGTCGTGGGTCCCCATGGCGTCACCTTTGCAGCCATACTTTTCCAACAAGTCCTTCTGTGAGATGCGGCCGACGTCCTTTTGGAAGTCTTTTGGCATCTTCACACCTCAGTATGTCAATTGATTTGCCCTGATTTATGTATCTTCTGATTGGTTTTGGATCCACGCCTCCAGGACAATTGCTGAAGGTGGCCACTGGCCCTTCTATGGATCTGAAACGTTCAGGATGGTCAGTCTGGATAAGGCTGGGTCGAAGTGGGAGGGCATGTGCTATGATCTGGACATTTATCAACTCAGCGTTGCTGTTTGTTCCTTCGGGGTGAGGGTGCTTGCCCTGTCGGATAGTCAAGAAAACGGATGAAAGAAATGCTGAAGCAATAAAACATCAAAGGCCCCTCTCATATGTCAATGTGTATATCTCAACTTGCACGAGTGGGTTATTGAACCCTCCGCCCCGATCTCGCCTCGCCTTTTGGGCCTGCATGAGCTAGGGTATTGGACATCTTTACAAGTTCCACATCCCCCGACTCTGAACGTCAGGGACGTGAAGAGCAGTAGCGGAGTCTGGCCAGGGAATTCTCTCAACCTGTAACCAACAACGCTTTCTGCTTTGCATTTCGACAGTCAAATCTCACAAACTTCATTCGTTTCAAATGCTTGTCAATCATCTGCCGACTCAAAATCTTTGTCATCAAATCTGCATTGTTCTTCGTTCCGTCCACTTTCTCTATGGTCAGCACCCCATCTCTTGTATGCTGCTGCAACCACAAAAATCTTGCCTGCACATGCTTTGTTTTGCCAACACCCACCCGGCATGCTATCGCACGAGCTGCCGTTGAATCGCACTTCATTGTCAATCCACATGGAATGCTCCATTCCTCCAACAAATGTTTCAAACAGGAAATCGCACCTTTGCAAATCCCATAATATTCAGCCTCTGCCGAACTCAAGGAAACAACGCTCTGCAAATTGCTCTTGGTCAACAAAAGATGTTGCCCTGCCATCACTGCAACACCTGTGGTAGAACGTCTTGTTTCCAAATCACACGCCCAATCACTGTCTGTGAATCCAATCAACTGGTATTGTTTCATGTATTGCATTCTGAAAATTCGTTTCCCGTAGGGATGTTTCACCAGATATCTTCCAAGCTTCTTCAATTTCTCAAAATGAAACACCTTTGGTTGCGACATCCCACGGGCCAAATTCTTTGCTGTATTGGCCAAGTCTGGCCTGTCCTGCGAGAGATAGGCCGTTCTCATGGTCAACGACCTAAACAACTTTGTGTCCTCAGCATTCAATGACTGTTTCTTCAGATGCTCAAAGTCAACCTCATTGACTTTCACTTCCGGGACATCAGATCCCTTCGATCCATGTAGGTTGAGCTGCTTCACAATCAACTCAGAGTACCTGGCATCTGCCTCGACTTCTAACTGAAACTCACCGTTCTCTCTTTTCGTCAGCTGCACCAACCGATTCAAGAAAAACATCTGCTTGTCATCTGTTGTGTTCAACCCTGATGCTGCTTCCCAACGAACCTTGTACTTTGAACGCAACACACTGTCCATCAATTGTAAGTCAACATCATTGGCAAGAACTAAAAAATCATCACCGTGCACCATGCCCCACATGTTTCGTGTCTTGTGTTTGAATGTAGCTGGACATAGTTTTCCAATCTCAAAATCATGAGTCGCCAACACTTGATTCCAATCTTTCTGAAAGATCCGTGAAGCATCTTGGGCGCCATACATGCTTCGATTCAACTTGCCACACATTGGTTCTGTATCTGTGTCTTGATGCAAATCTTCAGGCGGCAAACTAATGAACAAATCACGCTCAACTGTTCCCATGAAATGCGCCCGACTCACATCCCAAGAGCCAAGTCTCAGATCTCTTGCACGACCTTTGTACTGTGTCATCAGCATTGAACAAATCAAATAAAAAATTTCAACTGGCGGAGTGGCTGCAAACAACTCAACTTCCGAAAGCTGTTCACCAGGTGCCTTCTTCTTCTTAATCTCTCTTGCCACCCACCTTGAACGATACAAGGGCCTCTGGTCATCGCCCTTGTTGATGTCAACATATGTCAACCCTTTTTGTTGAAATTGGTTCACGTCCTGTCACTGCCAAGCATTGCGACAAGGGAACGCGATCATAAATCTTCTCGTCCTTGACCCATTTCAGCTCCTCTGCTCGAGCCTTCTGCACCATCTGCGGATCAAGGAGAACACCAGCAGCTGCATCAATGAACTCTTCTTCCTGCTGAGCAAACTCCTCTTCATTCCAAAGCTCCTCATGCGGCGATGGACCCGCATGCAACGACTCAAAAGAAGACAATGACCTGTCCGACAACAACTGTTCACGTAGTCCTTGCAACACTGCACGCACAAGTCGATCTGGGTAGACCTGTGCCTGTTTAGCAACACCTCCAATGAGCCTCACATGCCTATGTAACACGGAGTGGTCTCTCCACAAATTTGATTCAAAACTTCAGCAAGCTTCTGTGAATTTGTAAACCAAACTGTAGGCTTTCGCACGTATCCTTCTTGTTCACGACCTTTCAAAACCATTTTCCAACAACACATTGTCGAGCGAACTCTATAAACCCCTGGCAGGTTTTCCAACTCTTTCACTTCTGGCATGTCCCAAGCTTTTGAAAGCTCAGGGTGTTCATGAAGGAAATACCGACCAGCGTCATACTGCTTCTTGTACATTTGGACTGATGTCTTCACTCTTTCTTTTCCAACACGAATCTCTTCTGCTACAACTGTAGGATCCCTTTTGTAGTCTGACAAATTGCGAAGCGATGAAAATGGCCCGCAAGGAGGACTGCCTATCACCAACCAAGGTTCTTCGTTCTCAATGATGGCCTCCAACTCGAGCCTGTCACGCTTCCGATCAAGATCCCACATGTCACTCCCATCTGGTTTCATCTCATTCAAATCAACTGCCACCCCTCTTTGCAAACCGTAGCAAGCTGCAAGTGAAGTGAACCGACTCGGAGAGAAAATCTCCATCACATCAACTGAACAAATTGATGCTGACAATGTTGCGATCTTTTGCACTTCCGAAAAATTGTAATCAACCCCTTCTTTCACAAACTGTTGTTCAATCATTTCTTCCAAAATTCGTTTCTGCACTGCTTTGTAGCTATAATCAATGTCAAATTCCAAACTATTCAAATCAAAACTGGCGACTGCATCTGTGGGTGTCTCTGTAGGCAATGTGGTTGCTTCTTCTGCCATGGTCTGCTCAACTAATGTCTCAATGTCAACTTCTGCCGGCCTCTTTGGGGAATCCGGCCTGGTCACGGCAGCAGGAGGCCTCGAGGGCCTCGAGGCCGATGATGAACTCTGTCCTTCAAGCACTTCGACATCCACCTCAGCCTTTCGTTTCGAAGGACTGGATGGCTCGTCAATTCTGGCCCTTTTGTCTTCTGCAATCTGTTTTTCATCTTGCTCTTCCTGAATTCTTTTGTAAATTCTGGCGCGACACTCAGCACTGTGCTGTATCTGCTGAATCATCTTGCCCTTCTTGACACTGTAGCAGCCGTCACAACCAGGAGTAGCTCCGAACTTCTCAATGAAGGCACGCTTGACTGGTTTGGCCTTCGCTGTACTCCTTGGCGACACACGCTCCTGGTCTTCAGCTGCATCAACTTGCGCTGCCGTCTCATGCAAGCTTGGTTGCCGGCATCATCAACGCAGGTGTCATCGGAGCAGGCGTCATTGGGCTCGACTCCAACTTCCTGTCATCTATTGCATGGATCTTCCACGGGGTTCCCATCAACTCACTCCAACCGTCAATGCTCCAACGTTCAGCTTCCGACAAACGATGAAACGAACTGCCGACCCGAACACCTTGTTTTGTGAGCACCAACACTGATCCAAACCGATTGCGCAATCCAACAAAATGTCCAGACTGCATCCTTGCTGCTGCATCGCTCCGTTTGCCACTGGATCCAGCCGCTTTGTACATGATGCGTTCACCAAACAAAGGAACTGGCTTCTTCCACTGTTTCCCCGTCCGACCATCCTCCGGGGTTTGACCATCTGTACCAACCTTGTATCTGTTGATCATATCACTGCAATACCGGGGCAACCAAGACCAAACCACATGGTCTTCTGGGAGGCTCTGACCTAAACGCTTCTCAAGGCCACTCTTGTTGGCCCGCATGCGACGCTTCAAATTTTGGATGCAACTCTCAACTTCACCGGTTGCCTTGCGATCTCCTGGAGGAGACTCTTGGGGGATGATTGCGATATCCCCACAACCTGCAGCTGCTTCACGCTTCAACGCACGCATTGCTGGCTCACCATCACTCTTTGAGATGAGCTTCTTGTATCCCAACAACTCATAAAATTTCCTCATCTGTTGCAAGCTAGCCTCATTCCGTGCCTTCTTGTTGTCAAGAGCTGTTGCAAACACCATCTTGGTCTTCCTGTCGATCATTGCAAGAAACGGTCTATTGTCATCCTCCTCCGGGGACATGTAAAAGAAATCATGGCTGACTACTGAAACTGTCTCTTCCTCATGGTCTTGCCTCATGTGGCGTTGTCCCAATCCCCAACCTTCAATGCACTGCGGGCACCAAGCCCTGTAAACCGCGTGACCACTTGCTTCATGCTCATCAATGTCTTTCTGGGTAGGCTGTCCTGGATCAAAGGCCGGAATGGCCCTACGAGCCTCAACTGGCTCCTCGACAGCCACCAACTCACCTTCCTCCAACGGAGCTAATGCAGGTTCTTGGAGCTCCGTTTCCTCCTCCTCTTGCAAGTCCGCCCATGACACTTTCTTCTTTGGCTTCTCAACTGAGCCAAGTGAACGACTGTCTGACTCAACCTTCGACTGCGAGCCGCTCTCACCGACTCGCAAATACAAGTTGTACACGCCACGCTCCTCATACAAGGGGATCTCACCAACACCACCGAACCGACTGTAGGTTTTGCACAACTCTTTGTACAACCGACTTGAGTGATCAATCAATCTGCCACCACCAGAGCCAAGCCACGTGTCAAAGCCCTTCTTGTGAACAGAACTCGCACTCAACAACACTTTATGGACATCAGTGACATGCCCAGTGACTCTTCTTTTGTGACCACTCTCATCAACACCTGTGATAGTTGCTTTGCCCAAATCATCCAACCTTTCCCCCGATGCGGTCTTGAAAGGCCGGTCACTCTGACCCGAGTCCACGCTCTCCGACTTGTAAACTTTGGGCAATGCTGTAATTGCTGGTCCTGTATCATAGTTCAAGCGAAGCCAACCATCACACAAGTCCGAACTCAAGTGACACAAATCTAGGCCACCAGCTTCTGCTTCCTTCTCCGGCTCCTGATTCAAGGCGTTCACACCTCGAGAGTTCCCTTTTGCATCTTTGCCTTTTCCACTTCCCTTGCTCCAACAGTCTTTGGCCTTGTGGCCCTCTTTGGGCCTGTGATGAACTCCTCGAGGATGAAGTCTTGCCTTTGCCCTTGAACGAACAGTCCTTTCCTTTGCCCTTTCCTTTTGAGGACTTGCTCCAACAATCTTTTGCCAGATGGTTGGTTTTGCCACACAAGTAGCAAGCCCGCTTCCCATCTCCAGCGCCCTTCCCAACAGCCTTGCCTTTGTTACCCTTGGAACTCTTAATCAGAGCCCCGATGTCCTTGATGCCCCTCACGGCATCAATCAATGCTCCAACATCCATAGGAACTGCTTCGCTCGACGATTGACTGAAATTGTTGCTGATGGTCATCTTGGCACCAGTCTTCGCTTCCACAAACACACGAACTTCCTCCTCCATCTGGTCGTATGTCTTGAAGCGAGTGTAGTTCAACTGTAAATGTTGCTCCAGATCTTTCGGAACAAGCTTCTCCAAGGCATTCATTGCTAAACTCTCAGGAAGTTCTTCACGCTTCCCGAACTGATCCTTCTTCCGATTGTATCGGGCCCTCAAAGCCCGCCACCTTTCCAGCGCTCCAGCCAAGGTCTCATAGGTTGCTCGGTCCGGCGTAGTGAGAGCATTCAGCATCACTCGTTTCCTCCCCCCTGTCGCCGGATCATATTTTCTATGCAGCAATCTCCAAGCCTCAAGCCCACTATTGCTCGACGTGTTGTCAACAACAAAAGGCGTCCCCTCAGTTGTCGACCTCAATGCACTGTACAACTTCGTGTTCATGTCATCAATGTCTTCAATGACATCATTTGGATCTGCATGCTCACCGTAGGTATTGGCCAACAATGCACTGCTTACCTCTACCTCTGATTCTGAAGCCCACTGCATAGCTTCCCTGAACTTTTCCCCAAAAACTCCTGCCACATAATCTTCAAGTTTGATACTCCACAGCCTGAAACGAAGCTCTGCTTGCTCATCGCCCAGCGTCTGCGGCTTTCCCAAGCCTTTGCTATCAAACAAGTTCTTTCTATCTCTGTGTCCCCCGATCGATTCGAGGGCTTTGGGGATCAACTTCAAGACCTCCATGCTCTCGGCCCGCTCTTGCCTCAAGGCCTCATTCACAGCAGCGACCTGTCGAACCTCTGTCTCCGCCTGTTGAAGCCTCTGAGTAAGCACAACATTGGCATCCCTCATCTGTTGGCTCTCTGTCAAACTCCTCTGCAACTGTTCTTGCAATCGAGTTTGTCCCTGCTGCAACGACTGAATTGCTTGCATCAATTGTTGGACATTCATTCCAGCTGCATCTTGTTGTTGGGCCATGTCGGAATCAACAGCAACAAAAAGAACAACCCAACGCCCAGTCTCCCAAGCAATCGACCGACGAAGTGCTCAACCAAGCGACAACCAATGTACAAGCTAAACAACCAATGCTGTTCCAACAAGTCCACAATGCACAAGCCAATGTCCAACACTGCCCTGATCAACTGATCAACACCGACAAAATGGGTCACAACTGCAAGACCCACAACAACTGAAGCAATGCTCCAACTCACCACCTGCGGCCCTTCTAAGTGGATCCTGTTGGACACGGCAGCCTTACCTTTAGACAATGCCGTGCCCCGCCGCGCTACCATGCACGAGTGGGTTATTGAACCCTCCGCCCCGATCTCGCCTCGCCTTTTGGGCCTGCATGAGCTAGGGTATTGGACATCTTTACAAGTTCCACACAACTCGAAAAATAAGTGTGCATATACATATATATATATAACTATATGTATATGTGTACATATATTTATATTAATATATAAACAGTTTTACATACATGTGTCATGTGTGTGTCTTTCTAAATGCATATATATAGTACACTATTAACTGTCTTCTCCAATCTTGCCCAAGGATCCCTTGGGTCGGGGAAGAGGTCGGTGCCCTCCCTCAGCCTTGAGGTTCGAAGTGCCAACACTCCTGATGCGATCGGCTGAGATCGGCCAACATGTCACCTTTTGCAGACGATGCCGACAAGCATCTGCCCCGTAGCTGGGTCGTTCCTTGACAGCAAGAAGACCAAACAAAACAAACAAGATCTCAAAAGGTAAAAGGGCTGTAGGAGAAAAGCAAACTTGGAGCTGCATCTAAACTGAATTTCTATCTCTATCTCTATATAAGTACATCTAAACTTCTAAAATGATCTGACATCATCCAAATCTCAAGCTGATTAGTGCTGATCCAAATCTCTTCTGATATTGCTTGAGATCGGGTCCGGCGCTCTTCTTGAGCCGGGCCTAGGGAAGGTCCGATGAACGGCACGGGACGAAGCTCCGATCGACCAGGCTGCAGACATACTGCTCCCGATAGAAGCTTTTGAACATGTCCTTCTTGAGGGATCGCTCCTGCCATGCGACGCTGGAATTCAGCTGAACCTGTAGCAAGCCTTCATGCCCTGACATGCATTCTTGCTGTGGCTGCGGGTTTCACGTGTCCCGGGCGAAAAGTTGGCTAAGGTGCAAATTAATATGGACGTAGAACTCTTCCAGAAACCTCTTCACATAGGGAGGTGTTATGAATCAAGGACTTTAGAATAATATTATATGATATGATTAATATCTCTTCTTCCTGTCTATAAACCCTGCTTGTTGGCCCAAATCCCTTTTGGCACTCCACCGATCCAGGTCCGCCCCACCCCGTCGGAGATCTGCGTGTAGAGCCAAGGGTTTTCCATCTCCTCCCGCTGCTTTTCCGTCATGCCTGTCAGCGAACATGGGCGTCCAATCCAGTGGTGTGGAGAAACAGAAAACAGTGGCCCGTGGGACATGGAAAAACATGACCTACACATGCAAAAGAAGACGGCTAGGCATGGCCCATGGTCGCTCAAGTTTAAAGCGTCAAATTCAACCATACCATGTTGCAATCAGTGTAATACTTCTTCAAGCTCTGAGTTGTAAATCACAACTGCTGTTACTGCTGAGAACAGCGGCCAGGGCTTTTTTTTTACATGTGATTTATGCCTGCTCTAACCTTCTTCTTCATCTTCTTCAATTCCTGAGCAAAACAAACATGCATAGTGACGAGCAGGAGATGCAGAAGAAAGAGAATGCCAGCGCCTTTATTTGTCCTCCCCTCGCAGATAAACGCGGCGGAGTACCCTGATTGCCCCTCAACTGTGCAAGAAATTGAACCCGGACCAGTTGACATAGCATGTTTCAGAATCATGCTTTTACACAGACAGTGTCAGAGAGTGATACGGACCTTCCCAGAAAGCAAAGTCAAAAAAAAGAAATCTGGGAAACCTTTAAGTACCTATCAAAGTGGTACCTCCACTATGGGAGGCTTTATATACCAGGTATATACCAGGTATATACCTTTATTCTATGGGAGTGGTATGGGAGTGGCATAGGGAAAATCCTTATAGGAGTGGTATGGGGAATGTAAGTCAGTGG